GACTTGCTTTTAGCCGAAATCAGCACATATTTATCCTTTGATGCCTCTTTGTCATCTCTGCCCTCAATGCCTCGGAGGCTCTAGGCTGCTGCTGTATCGCACTTCAGAATGTCGGAGGTTGTAGGCCGAGACTGTTACACTAACACCCTCCAAGTTGCGACACACTAACAACCTCCAAGTTGCACCGGATTGCCGTCGAGGGACCTGCAGCGGGCATTTACAATTTAATAAATCTTAGTCCGCCAACCGCTAGCCGGGAACGCCGCATGCTGAAACCCCAAACCCGAAACTACACGCCTTAGGACCTTTGCATTCCCTAAGCCCTCAAGTCGCCAAGTCCTGAAACTGCAAACCCCGTTCACACGTACTTCAATCGGCTGATTGAAATACAATCGGCCCCGGCCCAGAATCCAAGATCCAAGATGCCCCCAGAAAGTTTTTCAGCTAATCTTGGATTCCGGGGCCCTGCCTGATTGAATATCAATCGGTTGATTGAACTTCAGTCGGACTGGGCCCTGGAATCCAAGATTGCCCAAAAAACTTTCCCGGTGCATCTTGGATCTTGGATTCCGGGCCGGGGCCTATTGTATTTCAATCGGTCGATTGAAAATCAATCGGGCAGGGGCCGCGGTATCCGTTATTTTCGGGCAAGCTTGGATCCCAGGACTCCTGCCCGGTTCAACCTGGTTTGATTCAGGGCATCGTTGGAGCCGTGAATCAAACCAGGTTTTTAAACGAGAACGTGTGCGAACCTTGAATCACACCAGGTTTCTGCAAAAGAACGTGTGGGAACCCATCCAACGACAGGTTCCCACAGCGTCCTTTTCTGAAGATAAAATACAGTGAATGCATGCTTCGTTTTTTATTTACATGAAACACACGCCAAATGATTTACTACCGTCGTGTTTCTATTTCGCTGATGAATTTGTCATGGAACGAAGTGTAAGCACGAAATAAATACGCGAAATGAACGAAACAGGAACGAAATAACAGATTTTGGAAAAGGTGTGTTGTGGCGCGTGCTTTGTTTAAATGAAATACGCACGATTGGATTACTTTTCATTGATTTGTTTTGTTTCATTTCAACAAACCACGAACAACACACACCCAACCTTCAAGATTAAACCATTACAGTTATAGGTGTTTCTAACGGTTGTGTCTCGATAGCAGGAGTTCCAAGGGTAAGAAGACCTAATTTTATAATGTGTGAACGAATAAAGGCGAAACACAGAAAACGTGTTTTCGCTTTCTTCGTTCCGCATTATCTAAATTCGTCGCTTTTGCCTTGTTCATTGAATTATCTCTTTTGTCTTCGTTCTTTTCACGCTTTCATTACATTCCATTGTAACAGAACTAAGCACGATAAGACAAAGGGTTTGAACAAGCCTGGATGTGATGTGAGCGGTTATACCAAAACAACCAGGTATAAACAAATAAATCACGAGTGACAAAGGAATGCGTGGTTTTATTATACACAGCACCTTGGGATCTGGGTTATAATGGTTCAAGAATCTTCTAGTTGTAATTGGTTGCTGGTGGTGGTGAGTCAAAGGGCAAGCGAAAAAGACCTAATGTTAATAAGGCCAACAAGGAACAACGATGCGCGTGTTTTCCTTCAGTAAAATTAGTTCCCTGCGTTGTGTTTTCGTTCATCGTTCGTTCATTAATTTGGTGTATGTATTTCACTACATTACAAATGAGTGAAGTGACTGGAACGAAGCAAACAACACAGTAAACTTTACAGATATATCGTTCTACCACTATTTTATTCCTGTAATTGGGGGGTTAGTATCTCTGTGGTGCGTCTTTTGTAAGCAAATAAAACAAGGGAATGAAAAGGACGCGCGTTTACTATCTAAAATCAGCGCAGCACAGCACACAACAATAAAGCCGCAACAAAACGACTAAATCAAACCGCAGAAAACACGCGTTTCACTTGTTTTTCCGTATTTTAATTTAATGCTTTTGGATCCATGGACTCCACGGTTCGCTTCTTTGCAGTTGAATCCACAGTGGGGCTCATGTGTGCTTTGGTGTTTTTTGAGACAAGTTTACACATGTGATTCCTTTCCCGGTTCCCAATTTCGATTCCTGATTTTCCTGAAAGCTCTGCTGTTGGGTCTTTGAATGGGCTAGTTTCATGTGTGAATGGCTGCTATTGTTTGTGGTCGTTGTCATGCTAATCCTCTTTCTGTGCGCTAGTAGTCGTGTTTATGTGGTTGCAGAAGCAAGCAGTAAGGTGGTGAAGGTGATAGTGCCGCTGCCATCGGTCTTGCCCTGTTGCCACAATCACCGCTCGGCACAACACAGAACTTTAAGGCACTGCCGGCCCTTTCCGTCTGGAATCGCAAGTTGTCTCCGAACTCTAAGAACCACTTTCCGACCATTGCGTTCCTGCAGCTGCATGTATCGCCCAAACCCTCAATGAAGCTGAAGAAAAGCGATGAAGTCATGTAGCTTTTGTGCTGGGTGCGCACAGCAGCATCTGTTGTGAAATAAACCGATACGCAACAAGGCCGAAACCACAAGTATATCATGCAAACGTTCGGCGTCAGTCACGCAACAGCATGTCGAACTGCCAAGTTCTTTCAACCACCATTTTCCAAGCGACTCCAGTAGGTCGCACGCGGTCGAGCTGCGGCTTGTTGTCCTTGATATTACTTCATTGCCGAATTTGTTGTTCTCAAGTCGTGCACTTGCTAACACCCACAAACGAAGATGATGTGCTTTGTTTTGTTCCGTAGTGCCTTCTGCTGCTGCTGCTGCTGCTGCTGCTGCGGCTGCTGTTTCTGTAGCCTGGAGTTTTTGTGATGTGTTACTGCTGGTGTCCGCGCTGCCACTGGTAATGATGCTGTTGCAATCTCATGCAGCTCCATCATTGTATATCATTGTCCTTTCAGGAAATCTTTCCTCGCCTTGACGGCGAGTCTGTTACTGATTTGGACAAGCCCTCGGTCATCTACAAGTACAGAGGCCTCTGAAGTTTAGCTCAGGACGCGGGAAGACAGGTTCTTCGGTTAGGGTTCATTTCATCAAGTGTGCGAGGTCACCACGTTGTCTGTGCCTCCTCGGGAGAGCCCAACTCCAACCTTTCAGAACGGAAGTGCCACTTTCTGAACACGCCGCAGAGATGCTATGGTATGCTTTGAATGCTATGAAATCTGGAGACCTGCAGGGCGCGTGAAATGTAGGCGATCGGTTCTGCTCTGTCATGTACTTCTGTTTCCGAGATGTCCATCTCAGTGGAGCCTCTCACTTAGTAACTTTTCGACATAGGCCACCCAAGCAGACGCATGTTTTGCATTTACGTTCTTTCCACAGTCCCGCTCGGGCCCCCTCATCCGCAGACGCCAAATTCATTCGAAAAGAGTATAGTATAGGCAGAATAAGGTTTAGATACCTCTTTCCCGCCACATTCCATTTTGTATATTTTGGGAGCCTAATGCTTAGTGATGCCTGGTGCTCTTTCTCTGTTGTGGTGTCATTTTGTGCACACACACCCAAGGGAGTTCATGTTCTCGTGTGTAGCAATCTGCGAAAGTACGGAATGAGCCTTCCGACATGTCCAAGAGTTCAATTTGCTAAGTATGCCCCGTACAACTACCCCAAGATTCCGCAAGATTGCGATGAACAACTACATGAAACAGCTGAACCTGCAGAGTCATGAAGTTGTTGGTCTGTACGCACCTACCTGAGCAACCGCCGACAGAGCCTTCATCCAGCCACCGGCTGGTTGTGGTTGTCAGGTGTTCTGACGCGGCAGCCGGATTCTGCGCTGTCACCGAACATCAAAGCTCTGTAGTTCAGTGAGATCTCTTCCTGGCGGAGCGCGAAACATGTTGCAGGTTGTTGTTGTTCGGGGTTGTACGTGCATGGTGGCAGGATCTCTTGTGTCCAGGAGCAAAGGCTCGTTATTCGGTCAGATGTGTCTGTGATTCTGATCCTTATCGTCCACATTGCTCCATGCAGCCAAAGATGCAATAAACTAAGCCAAACTCAGAAGTTCGGGATATGGATGTCACCGAGGCCTACACCAATAGCAGCTGCCTACAAAATTGAAGTTTCGTGTCAGGCGAAAACGCTGATAGCAACAAGGTCAACCCGATCCACCAGCTGCCATCTGCTTCATACAGAACCAGACGGACAGATCAGCAGCAATGAAATCATGGCCGCTAGAGTTTGAAGCCTCTTACAGCGCGAGCAGCCGGCGTGGCACTAGTGTACCTGCAACAGCTGTTGAACTGCATCAGCAGCCGCAAGGAATAACAGCAAGAGCCACGTCCTACTCAGAGAAACGCTTTGAATTTCCCATGTAACACCGCCAAGATGTCGTTGATTGTAAGCAGGTACCAATCGCAACAAAAAATGGTTTCAGTGGTTTCAGTCTCTACGCCCAAGTGTCAGTCGGGGCAGGCAGGTTCAGGATTTGGGCCGTCGTAGCATTGAATCTAAGCGGATACCGAAGATGCCGGAGGTCAGTATGAGGGCGGTGGTTGTAATAAGGATGCTGAGCTGCATGGAGACGATGTATCTGTGATGGGAACACAGACAGTGGCGGTTGGCGATGGTCAGATTCGAGAATCGCAGAGCGCGGGATGCTTATGAGGACCACGATGATGACGTTGTTGTTGCTGCTGCTGTTGTTGGTGCTGAGAATGTCAGTTATGGTGACGTCACTTCATCCTCATATTGTTGTGCTTGTTGAGGATGATGACGGATATAGTGTGCCGATGGTGGTTCTGATGTATTGTGTGAGTATCATTGTCATCGTCATGATAGCAGTGATGGCGTTGAGTTTGGTGAGGATGCTGCATCTGACGATGACGCTGGTGATTAACTTGAGGACGGAAGAAGCCCCATGCTATACCACGCAAGAACGGAACTCCAGAATCTGTCTCCTTCCATGAAACCTCCATCCCATGGCTCAAAAAACCCGGAACCTGAACGCAAGAAACTGCCTCAAGCCTTGACCCTCCAAAGCCCCAAACAGCCATGCGGAGGCCCCGACGTGGTTAACGGTGCCTTCTCCTTGCTGCGAAGTCTTGCCGACCAGGCAGCCCGAAACGGGAAGAGGCTTTCGTCTGCAGGCCTCTGGCTTAAAAGGCAAAAAGAATTGTTCGGATTTGCTCGCGCAGCGCTAAACTTTACGATCTGTGGGTTTAGTCTGTACTCAGTGACTTCCGCGAGGAGTCAGGAGATGACTTTGATGCTATGATAAAGTTCTTGCTCTAGGAATTTGTGCGCTTGTACACAAGCTCCGTGTTTACATCTCTGCGAACTCTTATGCAAATTGAAGACACTGGAAGACCGGATTCCCCTAACTGAAAACTCAACCAGCTGTAACAGGCCTGATTGATTGGAAAGTGGCAGAGCAAGAGCATAGTCGCTCTAGCATCCAGGGGCACCGGGAAGTCAAGCCTTCTGGGTCGGACTGCTCTCCCTCACAAGACAGCAAATGTGCGGTTGTCAATCGAAGTCCTTGTTCTCGCTGTGCAGCTGCCTCCGGGCCTCAAGGGGTCGAGACATCACTGAAGTATCGTACTGCATGTTGAAGTGTTGCTTCACGAACCTGAAACCCCAGCTAGCACCAAGCCTGCAAGACTGAAATCGAGAAGGCTAACGCCTGCACTCTATGTCTGAAGGTCGTGCGGCCGCCAGATGTCACAGAGAGATCGGGGCAATACCAGCACGGGGCGCAGTGCGGATAAACATCCGTGAAGTGAGGTGTGAAAAAACTCTTGGCACTTGGCATGCAGGCTTTGCTGCAATGCGTCCTTTATTGTTTAATCTCGAGCAGGGTCTGGTTGCCTTGATGTTGCTTGCTTACTTTGAAGACGACCAAATTTCGAAGCTGCTCATGAATAACAGCACGCTCATGAAAAATACCAAGTCCTTCGTCACTGACTGGAGGGTCTGTTTATTGTTTCGTAAATTTCGGGTTGTTTGCATATGCGTTTTGGCGGTGAGGTATAATAACATGTCTTTGTTTGCTCTGGCTCAAGACTTGCATTCATCTTTATTCGCTTGGCTGTGCATGTGTCTACCTGTTTGTGATGATGAGGTCAGTGCATTGGTGCTCGTCGGTGCATGCTCACATTAGCTTCTGCCATACACATGCATTCACGTTCCCGTGCTGGCTTGTTTGTTTGCATTTGTTCACTGGCTTACATGCTAGACTCCTTGCCTTCTATTCATGTGACTATATTCGTATGTCGGTACGTTGGAACGAACGATCTGTGCTTGTGCATACAGTTGTTCCATGCATGGGAACAATCGTAGCCAATGTATCTGCTGACGTCCAGGTGCCGAAACAGGTGCACAAACAAGACTGAGCTGTCTCAGCCCGGCAAGCCCCACCGAAATGCCCGATTGATCCCATCCGTCACGAATTGCTCCAGAAGCTTGCACCTGACAGTTCAAGGCCCGGGGAGCTCTTGACAAAGACCATGAGCAAGGAGTCTGATGTCCCCTGGTTGATGCTTTATGTAACATATGTATTCACAGACGTTTCGCGTTGCTACCCCTGTACATCACTAACTATGTACAGTTCCTATGGCTAGGATTAGGGTAGTGCTACTGCAAGTGTTGCTGTTTTGAAATCCTGGCCTACTGTGACATCGACATGATGCTGTTAATGCCTGCGTTTATCGCATTGTCAGTAGTATCCGCACCTTTACTATTCAAGCTTGCATTCTTGGATTGTTTCAGCTGCAAAGTTGCAACTACGAAGCATGTTTGTTATTTCTATTCGTACATTTAGAGGGCTGTGCCTTCACACATGTTTGCACAATCCATAAGCACGTTTCGCCACAGATGGAACGTCATGCTAAACAACAACAAAAAGTTACAAGGCATGCTCGGCTTACTCACAACGTGCTGAGGCTGCCCTGTGTAGCACCGGCAAGCAGACTGGAAGCACTTCTGAACCTGAAGCTGTTTTCGCTTACCCTTCTTGTCGAGACTTCAAAGCTCTGCCGACACGAGGCTTCATCCGCATTCAAGCTTGGTCTAGACTCAGAGGCTATTTACGAACTTGTTGGTTCATTGCAGAAGATTCGTCAGCTTGTGAAGTGATTTTGGACCGTCGTGCTGTCCCGCTGGCCCGACACGGAAAAACAAGTGTCACGCATCAGCATCTCCCCACTCGCAGCAGCTGCAGCAGCAGCAGTGGTGGTGGTCCCGCTCCCGCGCCTTTCTCCGTTCCGACACCGGAACCGAAACAGCAAAACACTGGCGCACGAACGCGTTACTCCTCAAGCAAAGGTTGAGGTTCTTGTGAACGTGTCATGTTCTCTGCGGGCTACTACGACTCCGGCCTCATGCAGAACCCCAGGCGTGCCCAGCTCCTGATTTCTTGTTCAAGAGCTGCCACTACTATCATTATTGCTACTACTACTAC